ACCAGGGCTCAGAGGGGAACTACTCTATCAGAATTGATGATCTTGAAAAGGCTGACATAGGATTTTACCACTGTATACAGGAGGGAAAATGTGTTAGAGTGGTGCTCGATGAAATAGGTAAGTGGATTTTTACTTGTAGATTTTAAGTTTATTCAATATTAAGCAGCGGCCTGTACTGTTTCTTCTGTCCTTGGATGACAAATGTCAAGACCCAGCACACACGAAAAGGACAAATAAACAAGTTTCTGTTTCCTGTGATATAGATCTTGTTAAACCACAACTCTTCATGCAGGTACAAAAATCCCATGGCTGGCGATCTACATCTGTGCTGGTGTGACTGCTCTATTTCTGCTGGGTACTGGTGGCTACTACACTTACAAAAAATGCAAAGGTGAGAATTGCCCTGTCTGAAATTTAAAGTCAAAACTGAGTGTTTTAGTGATTGTTTAGGAGGCTCATTGTATATTGAACTCACTTTTTGATTCTGTTGTAGATATCCATAACAACAAAAGCAACAGCAAAGTAGAGAAGAGTACGGTCATTCCCAGTAGTGCAGCTGCTCCGGGTAAGCAACAATTTCAACTCTGTGTCACTCCAGTAATGTTCATTTGTTGGATGTAAACTAGGAGACATTTGAAATTTGTATTCACAGAGAATAACGTCTGCTTTAAAATCATTTAACTACTTTCTTACTGTTTAAAATTGTATGACAGATGCATAAAATACATTTAAACAAGTATCACTTTCATGGCTATCCATTATGTTTAATGTTCTTGTGAATTTGCATTATAATATCAACAATATACATAACACGCTATACAGAGGTAAAACTACAAAACATGTCTTCATCTATCAAATCATAGACTGTGTACTACCTTTCAGCTGTTCATTTATAGTTTTACAAAATAATTTGATGTTTTTAATCAATATCATTAAGTAACTGTTAGGTCAACTGTTAACCAACGTACTTTAAATGTGCTATTTCAACCATTTATTCACTCTTTGACAGTTATTTACATATTTAATTCATCCCTTTTTTGTTTGTGAATCTGTCTTCATGTTTAGCAGAGCCAAACAGAAGAGATCTTTCAGTTACTCTGCTAATGTTTCACTGCAGGTCCCAGTGGCCCACCCGTAACAACAATCAACATACCAGTAGGTGTGCATGTACATGTACCACAGGCAGTAAGACCCTACACTCATGATCTTGTTTATGGTGAGTTTACTCATCTTTTTCTTCTCTTCTTCACTATTAAACAAACATTTTGAAATCACTGTATATCAACTGAAAAATGAAAAAAAAAAAAGTTCAGTATATAATGTTCTCAAACAATAGAAAATGATGACCAGTTCCCAACCAGTGCTGACCCCACCAGAAGTAATCTACACGGAGCTGTGCAGTATCTGGACAGGACCCAGCCTCAAAAGCCCGGTCAAAGCAGCGGTGGAATTTATCCAAATTTGGATCCGTTTCGCTTTGAAAGGGTGGAAAGTCAGAGAACCAAACATAGATTTCATTTAGGT